GAAGGAGATGAGGAGGACGAGGCAGTCGACAGCGCTGGCACCGCTGATTTCCCCGACAGCCAGGAGCTCTTCATCACCCTTACCGGGATCCCGTACCAACCGTCCCCATCCCTTACCCCGGACACAGAATCAGGGGACGGATCAAGCAGTAAGTGCTGTAAACATGTAAACATTTATTTAAAACAGAACGGTAATATTTATACTATTAACAATGTACATTTATAAAAGTTCTGTAAACTAGTAAAAAAATAATCAGGTACAAAACAGGAATATTTACAAAGGTAACAAATGGGTTTTCATGATTTCTCTGTCTTAGGCTCTTCTCAATTTAGTCCCAAGTGTTTTAAAAAATTTTCACAATGTCCGTTACTCCATGATTCCCAGGCCCAAGACGCTCCACTCCATAGTCCCAGTGCACCTACGCGAAAATCCGGTCAATGTGGCCGGGGATCGACGAGAAATCCTCGTAGGAGAACTCCTCGTAGGTCTCGTGGAGGTAGATCTCAAGCCTGTTGATCAGGTTCCGGGGTAGGGCGATCTTAGTGGGCCCTCCGTGGTAGCAGACATGCCCCCTCCACGCCACAATCAAGTACTCCGGGATCATGGCCCGACATAGCATGGCGGCATACGGCCCCGGTTTCTGCATGCTTTCCCGCAGCATGCGTTCTCTCTGGGTGTCCGGGATCCTCAGGAGGGTGATGTCGCTCATGACGCCCTGCTTTGAATTAGGGAGGGGAATGTTAGTATTGGGACTGCTTTACAGCCACGCGGTGGAGGGAGAGGGGCAGCATACAGGGATCTTTCCCTGGGACAGCCGCGAGGGGGTGGGACAGGGGCAGAGTTGATGCTGTCCTGATTGCTGGCAGCAGAGACTGGCATTGCTTTCAATGTGAAAGGAGGCCAGTGCTACTGCTGGAGTTTTAAGCAGCCACAAGTCTGCGGCTTACCATTATTGCCCGCTCCAGAAGTTCAGGTCTCCAGCCACAGTTCTCTGAACAGTCCAAGACCTCCGCAAGTCCACAGGCACTGAAGGCGACGGCCGAAAATTCGACCTTGTCCTGAGTGCGCATGTGAGAGGTGCAGTGCATGGTCTTGTTCACAGAGAAAGACTAGGTTCTTTGTATACAATTTCATTTATCTGTCTCAGGAATTCACTCCCTTTTTAAAATTCACACAGACACATCTGCGACTGTCTCCCAACCCAGCCTGTCAGCACACTCCCAGAGGCTAGCGCAGATTAGGCGGAGGAAGAAGAAGACGCGTGAAGACATGTTCTCAGAACTAATGGGATGATCCCGAGCCCAGGCAGCCCAGCAGACACAGTGGAGGGAGAACTTGTCACAAATGCACCGAGCAGTCATGGAACGGGAGGAGAGGTGGCGTCAGGAGGACCAACAGGCTACTGAAAAGCTGCTTGGACTAATGAGGGAGCAAACGGACACGCTCCGGCGCCTTGTGGATGTTCTGCAAGACCGGAGGCAGGAGGACAGAGCCCCGCTGCAGTCTATCTGTAACCGCCCTCACCCGCCACCAAGTCCCACACCACCCTCACCCAAACTCCAAAGAAGGAGGGGCGGCAAGGGCCGTTAAAACTTTCAGTCAACCCCTGCAGACTGCTCTAGCACTAGAAGGCTGACATTCCCCAAAATTTCATAAGTCCTTTCCCACCCACCTCACAGAAGCCCCCGTCCAAGTTTCACACCCCACGTTTCATGTCTGGTTCGCAATAAAATGTTTGTTTCTCTCCATTACTGTTTCAGTCAGGTTCTTTTGAGGGAGAGTCTGTCTGGAGGGGGGGAAGGGGCTTGGTAATTGGGCAGGACAGTGACCTTTAGCAGGGTACAGAGGCGGTGTCAGGTCCAGCATCAGGACACATACACAGTGCAGTCACTGGTTACCCTGGTCAGTCTGGGAGGTGTTTTTCATGTTCTCCATTGAAATAACCAGTCCACCAGTGCGGAGCCTGTCATTCCGGGAGTTTAGAAGCATCATTTGCATCAGAACACTGAACCCGCCCCCCCGCCACAGTCTGCGTCCCCGGTTTAAAATATTCCCGCGAAAACAGCAATACAGACAACGGTGTCCATTAACAAAATCGAAATGATTTTATTTTTTGGGAAGGGGAAGGGGGTGAAGGGGGTATGTAACTGGAGAGGATAGTCAAAATGAACTGGGTAAAGAAACGGGGGCAGGTTCAGCTTCTCTGTCCACAAACTGAAAAGTCACTGGTTGCCCTGCTCACTCAGGACCCTAGCTTTCAAAGCCTCCCGGATGCACAGGGCGTCCCGCTGGGATCTTCTAATGGCCCGGCTGTCTGGCTGGACGTAATCAGCAGCCAGGCTATTTGCCTCTAGCTCCCACCCCGCCATAAAGGTCTCCCCCTTGCTCTCACACAGATTGTGGAGCACACAGCAAGCTGCAATAACGATGGGGATATTGGTTTCACTGAGATCACAGCGAGTGAGTAAGCTTCTCCATCTCCCTTTGAGACGGCCAAAAGCACACTCCACCACCATTCTGCACTTGCT